CCCTTTCTTCCAAATGCTAATGTTCTGTATTGCATGCTTCTGTAATCAAAGAATCCAGAGAATTTCAAGTGACAAAATTTTGTAATGTAACTATCTCAAAAGTGGTCAATTTTAGGTGTTAACTGCTCTTGTATATAATGAAATTTCAACTCGATTGCAACAAGAGGGACAAGGTTTGTAACCTTTTTCATCATTGGCCATAAGGATATTGTATATTAGTATTCAAATCAAATTTTGAAAAATTATAAATGCATCACATTTAAGAGATACTTTTGTATGTTTCTGGATGCTGGCAGAATTATTTCAAAGTATACATATTTCTAATCACTATTGTACAATTTGACATGGTTTAACAAATCAAAAAATATTTAAAACATTGTATGACTTGAGACTAATATAGTTGGAACAACTAGTAAACTAGTTTGGTACAATATAAATGAAGTCATTTGTCGAGAACTGTCTTTTTAAGAATAATGTATACACTTTTAGTACCATATAAAGTTCTCCTTAATTTGTACCTATTAACAGTATTTTTAACTATATTTAACTTGTACCTATTAAAAGTATTTTTAACTATATTTAACTTGTACCTATTAAAAGTATTTTTAACTATATTTAACTTGTACCTATTAACAGTATTTTTAACTATATTTAACTTGTACCTATTAACAGTATTTTTAACTATATTTAACTTGTACCTATTAACAGTATTTTTAACTATATTTATTATAGACAATGATATTTTTATTGTTAGCCTTAGCATAAGGACTGTGAGATACATAAATGTAGTTTGATTAATTTATCATAAAATTGTACTGTTTCTAACATACACAGAATGGCAACAGAACTGTGTGAGTGGACAGTACATATGTAAAATATGCTAATCACTAGCTTGACATGCAATGGGCTGCTGTTGCATAAGAACAAACTTTCCTTATACGTAAAGAAATTTATTAACATACCTATAAAGTAAAAAAGCATCTCGTACTATACTAATGATGCTTGAAGCTTATTTCTCTAAACGAGGTCTAGGGATAGGTTGCAGTAATTACTACAGATAGAAAAGTAACAGTCTGGTGACTGTGCAGTAGTGAAAAGCTTTAATATTTACACTTCCAAATACAAATATAAGCTGATTAATCCAAAAGTATTGTTAAAAACTTTCTAATTATGACCATAAGTGATGCAGTGTAACTAAGACTCCAAGTGAGAGAGAAAGAATCCCAAGATGAAATGTTAGTAGAATCAATAAATAACTCATCGAAATCTTTGTGCTAAAAATGTTCTTGAAGTTTTTCTTTTGTTCTCAAACTACTAAAAACAAGAATGTAAGATTGGGCTGATTGTGGCACATTGTAATAATTTAAAATTTTTTAATGATTTCTTTAGATTTACAGCATAACAGATAAAAACTTGTATAAAAAATATCACTTAAGATTTCCAGTTTAGATATTCTGGTACACACATGTAAGCAGAACATGTGTATTTGTACAGTATGTATTAGATCATTAAAGAGAACTGAGAGTCATGATGTGTGTGTTTGTGTTTCATGGTCATTCCCTTATAAGTAGACATCACTTGCAACTGTTTGTACGAATAACTTTGTATACAGTTATCTAACCTAATTGAGCTAAATCTTCAATTAGTTGTTTATACAAGAAGTGGGCTGTTAGCCAACCAGAACCTTCATGATAATGAGTATAATTTATCTGAGCTCCCAGACATTTGGAGAATTGCTGCAATATCAAACTCTTTCAAAGATTGATTGTAAAGATAAAAGCTCTATCAATATAAATATGCAATACATTATTTCCTAAAATCTTCATTGGGTGTTTTTTTTATAAATTTTATGCACTGTATGTCACTATTACCCCAATGCCAATGTCAGAATTGACAAAACAATAATAATTGCTGATAGCCAGGGATGAATTTCTGTTGTGTCAAATACTAGCAGTAATTTAGAAGCTGTTTTAAGTATATAAATGAAATTATTTGTGTGAAATTATGAATATTAAATACAGTACAATACTTATTATGCTTTTAAGTCATAAAACAGATTAAAAACTACAGGGGATATTGGTATAAATATTTCCATAATTTCACCTCTATTAACACTTGAGTATTTAGACCAAATATAAAGAAAAACAAACACTGAGAATTATGGATTAATTATTTTCCATTTCTTATTTATACGATTATGGTCTTAAGCTTTTGGAGTATAAAACATTTGAAATATTAAAGCCATTTTGTATGTTAGTTTTCAATTCACTAAAGGTATGAAATAACTTAACCTGGTAATTATTTTGGCTTGTATATCTAAATTTATCTAAAACTTCTAAGTTACAATGTGGATGGAAAAAAAAGGAGAGATAGGCCTAATTATCTCCCATTTTTAGTGCACTGACATATACTTTATTATCTAGTATTTTAGAAATAAATCTACAGTGCTGTAACCTTTTTAGATTAATTATCTTAAGTCTTGCTTTTGAACTGTAGTGAAACTGTTTTAATCGTACTGTAAAGCTTGAGCATGGAACTTGCTGTAATAAATTTCTAAAAGAATATGAGGAGAGAAAATACAGCACTTGTTATTTGTATGTTAAAAATTGAAAGAAAAGAGTTATAGTTGGTAGATTTGTGAACTAACAACACTCAAATTAGGAGTTTGATTCCACATGGCAGATAGTACATAGATAATCCATTGTGTACTTTTGTGCTGATAAAACAACAGATCAATCCAATGTAAGCATTGCTTTTTGTTTTTTATAGAGAAATTATTTTTGAAATTTTAAAGGTAGTTGATGATAATTATTTATAGAACAATTTGTTTCTTTTTGTAGATTGAGTTGTAATTATTTTAACATTAATATAAACCTTGATTCTATTTCAAATACCAATTTAAAAAGTTAAATATATTTATAGTCAAATTATATAATATTGGAAGCTGTTTTATGTAGTAATGGCTGGAGACGGCTTGAATGGATGATGAAGAAAAATTAGTCTCAAAGTGGGTTCCTCGTCATCGAATTTGAATATTTTATGTAGTGTTCTTGTTCCTCCCTAGATGGCGCGTAAGATTTTATTACGTCTTACTTTGGTTTTATATTATCAAATATCGTTGTTTATTAACACATTGATGGTATTTTTTGTATATCTTTTATGTGAATCGCATGCTATTAAAACCATGAACCCACAAGAAACTTGCATAATAGTTTATAAAATTGTGTTCAAAAAGCTGATCGAGTGGTTATTTATTTAGAGTAGCATTTCTGTTTGTGTAGTTATGGGTTTTCTTAACATTTAGAAGCATACTGCAAAATATTGACAATATTGTTCAGTACAGTTTCGAAAGTGCTGTGTAATGTCTTGTGTACGAGCGCTTGAATTACGACACGATATTGCGCGCAGATAGACAAAGTTGCATATTGTGTAATTGGATATACATGTAACATATTTCATCAGTTTTAAGTCACTTTCTCTGAACATCTGATGTGCGAGAGTAAACGATAAAAAACGAACAAATCGGAATATTGGTATGTGTCGTAACTTGCACAAAGTTTTATGTAATATGCTAATTGGGTGTTGGCGATTCACGAAAAACTACATGAGGATAGGGGTTTCATTATATAAGTAAGAGATAGTGCTTTGTAATCGTGACTGACGTGACTGAGACTTCAGTATAAATCGGTTTTAAGTTGTTCGTTGTTGTTATTTTTTCTCGTACGTAACTGATTATTTCCATCTGACCTCTGGGGTCACTTTAGGTATGACAAGAGACTATAAAACGAAACAAAACTGAATAAGTGTCTCTTCGGTCGTTGTTTGTAGTTTTTCGACAATTCAAGGACCAAAAATTGTAATAAAAATCAATACTAAAAGGGTACGGTTTTTTTATAGTTAGTGTCTGACCTTGCTCATGTAGAGATCAGGTGTAATTGTTGAATAATTGATTGTGAGCGCCTTTCGTTTTTAATCGTACAGCAGTGTAAAATAATTCATCTGACTGGGGAGAGAGCACGCATTTTAATCGTACAGCAGTGTAAGATAATTCATCTGACTGGGGAGAGAGCACCATTTTAATCGTACAGCAGTGTAAAATAATTCATCTGACTGGGGAGAGAACACACATTTTAATCGTACAGCAGTGTAAAATAATTCATTTGACTGGGGAGAGAGAACACATTTTAATCGTACAGCAATGTAAGATAATTCATCTGACTGGGTAGTGAGCACACATTTTAATCGCAAAATGTTTGTAGTTTTGTATTATATCTATATTGTTGACTAGTCCATATGTGTGTGCGTGTGTATCTATGTGTGATCAGTATATTGTTGAAACTCTAATTAATATGAAACTTTTAATTCTTGTAGAACATTTGTAAGACACAACGGACTTAGACATTTAGTGAGGTTTCTAGGGGGATCAGTTCCTCCGGATTAAAGTTCTTAAGAATTAATAAGTGTTTTGCAAGGGTTTCTGAGCTGTGCTAAGTAAGGTTGCGATGTACTGGTGCGGCTGAAGGTGGAGCCTTCACCGTGACTATCCGCTTGGAACACTGTGTGACGTCTTTCTACCTGCCTGAGCCACATCTACATCGCAAGGTAAGTGACGTACACGACTTTGGCACACTGCGTGAGTCACACAATCATTTGCTGGGCGAATCTTTATAGTGTTGATGATCTGATAGAGAAGCGTTTTCGAAGTGTACAGTGAAGTTGGTCAGGATAAGGGATTGATATTTTGATATAAAGAACACCCACATGGGACATTTTGGAATGGCAAGTTATTCTCTTGGGTTGTTTCGTAATACATCCTTCTGAGAGCTTTGTATATAACTAATAGTTTATGGAGATAGAAACTTCTTGTACGCTTAATCTGTAATTATAAGCGTTAAGAATGTTACTCTGTGTTGTGTAAATCACTGTATGCCACGTCTGGAGGTATGTTATGCTTCATGAGATATTCAGATTTTGCAAATTTTTCATCATCTTAAACTTAAAACTAGAAAACAAAAAGTGGTTGTATAAGATAAAATGAAAGATGGAACCACTTTGTGGAAAGTTCTTGAATACGTTTCGCTTTAATAAATCTATCTCTTTGCAACAAATTGTCTTTTAGTAGGATTAGCAAACTCCTTCCCCAACATAACGAGTTTTGGATTTGAACTTAGAAACAGCACCTTACAAGGTGTGTGCAAACATTTGTTTTCTTCAGTTCGTAGGCTTATTCTAATAGAAACGCCTATCACGTACTGGATCATAGGCTCTGGACGATTACCTTAACGTGTACTTGGCGGTCATTGGCCACCAATGACGTGACCTTGACCAGTGGAAGGCTAAGGTCTCTGGACTGTACAACTTCGTAAAAGACGTTGTTACGTGGGAAGAACCGTCTGTTTCGTGAGTTAAAACAGTGCTTGCGGCTATCTTCCAGGAGTTATAATTTGTTGTTTTTTAGATTTTTGACAAACACCGAACTGGATATGTGGCTTGGTGCAGAGTTTTGACTTCTATGATAGGGAGAATCGATCTCGCATCGTTTTTCCTCTTATCATCCTGCATCTCTGATTTTGTACCGTTACTGTGGTGGACGTTAGGTTTGTTGGTAAATTAGCAACTTGCTTTGTGTGTTTAGGATGTAGCATAGTTGAGTAAGCTATAGCAGCAATGCTTTTGTTTTAGGAATGTTGATGAGTAATGTAATAACTACAAGCTCTTTTCAGAAATATCAGGTAGTAAACCAAATATGATGTTATGCAAGTTAATGGCAAAGGAAATGCCGCAGATTCTGATGTCAGTCTTAGTTTGATGTCAAAGATGAAATCATTGGTATTTGTTGGATTAGTATTAAAAGATACTGGGAGTACCGTTTGTCCAAGATAGACATTTATAATTTTGACTGACAAACAAGCACTTGTCATAAAAATAGAAAAAAGGTTAATGTGCAATTTTGATTAGACTGTTGCTTAAGCTTTCCACATGAAGTGGAAACTTGCAGCTTCAGATATGGTGATGCTAGTAGATTGTTTCCGACTACGACATAACCCCGAACAACAATGTTGCAGCAGTGATTTCACTAACATACAACACTGGTGTTCAACTACATCGTCCAATGTGAGTGTAACCTTAGTTATTGACTTGTTTGTTATTAGTTAGAAATTGTCAATATTAGATAAAGCCTCTTAAAAAGTTATCTTATGTCTGTAAGTGTTACGGAGTTATTTATAAAAGAAAATAGGTTATTAACAGAATTGTTTGTGTAGAGCATACTGTCTTGATTTGTGATAAAACAAACATTAACTGAAAGTCAAACATTATTGAAACAGTAACTAAAAAAATCATCAAATGGTGAAACTCGTCTTCAATACTTTTTTTTTGGGGGGGGGGGGGGTTCATCAGTTTAATTTTAATGTGTAACAGTTGCTCTGTGGAAAATCTCCACATCATTATTTAGGTACTAAATACCAATTAGTTGCCACATCATTACCTGCAAAATGTATGTAGAATAGTTAGTTATTGCAGTGCATTAAATTGAAAAGATTTATCATATCGTTATTTATATACCAAATGCCAAGTCATACTACTTGTATTCTGAAAACCAAGTACTTACTACACTATTACTGTGATACAGAATTCAAAGTAATTATCTACCATTACTTGCATGCTGTCAAGTAACCAACACACTTTTACATAACTGCTGATGGCCATGGTGTTATATTGTCACAGCTGCATTACTTATAAGTTGAATGCCATATTCTAGTGTAAATACACCATTGCTTGCATACTGAATGTGGCAAGGGTATCCTACTGTTACACAAAGTGAATTTCAAGTATTCACAGCTACATTACTTGCATGATGAATACAAGGCAATAAGATGTGAATATATCTACAAGATAATGAATTTAGTGACAGAATATTCATTTTAAACTGCACCACATGAAAAGTCTCAACAATAAAAAAAGGGAACACAAGTCAGTTTAGAGACGGTGATACAGAAAGGGGGTGGATAAGTATTTAATTTATTTAAATTAATTACTGTCTTCTAGATTTGAATACATGCAATGTTACCACAAATTAAAGCAGTAACGTTTTTATTTTGTCCACTTTCTTATTTTGGATATTTTGTTCATTTTAAATAGTAAAGAACAACATCTAAACACAAACTGTTTTGAACAATTTGTAATAGGTGATAGAAACAACAAACTATAACTTATGTTTAGACTGGAACTTCATTATTATAGAACAAATAAGATAGAAATAGAAAGGTTAACTTTGTCCTTATCTTGATATAAAATTGATAAATTTTAATTGAATTCTGTCAGTTATTTTAAGAAGACTAATCCTTGACATTTGTTATGATCTTAATATGAACATCAAAGACATTTTAATCATTATTAAGGGCAATGAGGCTATTACTGTTAGTTTTGTTATGGCTTGTAGTAGAATAATGTTTTTTAAACTGTTTGTTACTTGCTATGCTAATATTTATGTATTGATATCAGCATTTTTATGCCACTATTTGGCTTACTAAAAATACACAAAAATGGTTTACACCTCAAACCCATTCTATTTACTCTCAGTTCCTAATGACTAGGAACTTGCTAAATATCTTATACTTGCTTTAATATTTTATTGTCTTTCAAAATTTGTAGTGCATACTGGAGAGATTTACACATTTTGATAAAATGTTTAGAAAAAACGACCTTTATACACCAGATATATATATATATAAGAACTTTTTATTTTAACCAATGTTTTGCCTTTGCAGCTTCTTCAGAGTTAATATACACAATATACAGTTGTATATATTAACCCTGATGAAGCTGCTAAGGCAAAATGTTGGTTTAAAAAAATTCACTTATATATCTGGAGTATAAAAGTGTTTTTTTTTCTGAACGTTTTTATCAAAATACTTGCTTGAAGCTCACTAACTGACAATGAATTTACTGTTAAAGACTTTGATCAACAGATAGCTAACTTTTCATACATCTTTAATTACATATAATACCACAAGTGTTTGCCATGATTGCAATTTATATGATTATTTTTTTAATTTTGTTGCTACAATTTGTGTAAGTAATTCCGTTGAAAGTAACAACCGTTGAGTTAGAAATGATTAGATGAAGACATCCATAAACATCTCCCTAAAGATAGGTTGTTTTGCACTTTTCATTTACATTCCTACAGGCAAGACAAGGTTCAGACATACTTGGGTTGTTTGAAAACATAAATTTAATATTGTTGTAATTACTTTTAAGGCTCAACTTTGGTGATTAAGTAATGATGTTTAGTTTCTATAGCAACACCAATTATCTCATGTACACTAAGTTCGTGTGTGAGAAAAGGCAGACCAATCTAATAAAGAGCTTGAACTCTGTGCGTTACTCATTAAGCCTGTCAAATTATGTATCACATTTTTTGCATGTGTATTAGTAGCAAGTTATAGTTAGTTACCTGAGATTAAGTAAATTGTTGTTTGTTGTAAACCCTCTTCTTAAGGAATGTCGATGTTTGGATGTGGTCAGAATATTTTGTGTATTTTGATGCCAAATATGTCATTAAAGTTATATTTCACAACTGAATGATTCATGTTAATGCTCTTTAAAAAGCTATTGACAAGTTTATGTCTGATAAATCAACAATGAATTTATAATTTTGTTCCTTTCACTGTTTTGATGTGCACAACACAATATTTGATTCATTAAACACTTTTCTTCCATATACTTCTTCCCCACTTTGGTGGCTCAACGGTAAGTCTGAGGGAATATAACGCTAAAAATCGAGTTTCGATATCATCTGCTGGTAGATAGGCCATTGTAAAAAACTTTGCGCTTAACAACAAGCAAATCAACAAATGTTTACATGTAAATCAATGGTCTTGCTGAAATGTAATTGTTAACGAAAATATTGTTTAGGTTGCGAGTTTAAAAAAATATTGTTTAGGATGCGTTAACAGTCCGTCTGTTGCGAGTTTAAAAAAATATTATTTAGGATGCGTTAACAGTCCGTCTATTGCGAGTACGTGATAATAAAGTTACTAAGTTACAATATAGTAGTATACTTGTATTTGTTTCGGGCACTTAGTGTTTAGTAAACCTTTCGTGGTGGAAGTTTGTTAGTTTTTAAGGCGTGTAATAGTATAATGTTTGTTCTACTGTTTGATTCTTGCCATGCTTATACTTATCTACTGATATTAGCATTTGTAATGACAGGAGTGTTATGAATAAAGAATAAATGTATAAAAAAAGCAAAAGTTACACTGTTCGTAATGAACTTTTAATTCAAAAGGCAATTACATCGTATGACAACAGACAACAAAGGCTGTTAAAGCGATAGTCAACCAACCAGCAAGTGAATGGAAAAGTTAACAATCTTATTTAAATTTAATCTATTAGAAGTATCTGATCAGCTAAGATTTGGGAGACGCGGCTGTCGCACACAGTTTATTTCGGGATAATTCATACATTTTTTTGTTTATTCCCAAAATAAAACCTACAGACCGTGTGTGAAAAGGATGCGGCACCTTTGCTTTATTGCCATAAAATATGACGTATACAGAGAAGCAATAATAACTTTATAGTTTGCGGTTTTGTAATATAGATGTGGATTTTCATTTCTTAATCGGCCCCCAGGGGTGAAGCGGCATGTCTGCGAACTTATAACGCTAGAAACCGGGTTTCGATATCCGTGGTGGGCAGAGCACAGAAAGCTCATTGTGTAGCTTTATGCTTAATTTCAAACAAACCAAAAAATTTCTTAATTGCTTTGACGGTTATAATTTCATTTGCGCCCTTTTAATGCGTGTTTGTTTGATTGTATTTTGTTAATTTTTCATTATTATGTGCTTCATCTTTTTATTAATTATTTTTTCTTTGACACCGATGGTTTTACCGTTTTGAGATAAATACCTGATTTCAATTTTCTTGCGCTATTCTGATAAATTTTAATGCTTTTATTATTCCCAGTTGTTCGTAACGTTAAGTAATTTATTTTCAAGTTAATTTATAAATGTATTGTCACGAAAAGGGTTTTCATTCGGTTCTTATTTAATAAGACAGATTGCTCAGACTTATTGAGTACAATTTGATCATTTACCATAGAAATAAAGAAGCTTAAGCATTACATGCCGCTTTTAGATTAGATTTTTAAATCTAATTTCACAACTTGATGAAGCTTCACTTTCTACTTGAGCGCGACCCAGTGGCTCGCGTGCCGGACTGTAGAGCTGAAGTTATTTAAAAAATAAAACGTTCCGCACTTTGGCGGTTGATGGTGTTGACTACAACTGACAGTGCCTTCAGTCTAGTCTGTCACTTAAAAATTAGGGACGGCTAGCGCACTTAGCCCTCGGGTAGCTTTGCGTGGAATTGAACAAACAAACTTTCTCATTGTATCAAAACCTCAATGAGTGTGTTTTAATCAACACAAATCTTTATCGGCGTTAGGCCTACTCTGACCAAGGTGCATTAACGAACCAAATGAAGCTCATATATCGTAACACGTAGTAAATGTTGAATTAATTAAATGATACAGTATGTTGAAAGGAGATGTTACTGTTTTTACTACAGCACTGTTTTTCAACCCCCGTGCTAAAGTTATAGGTTGGGGGGGGGGCGTCAAACTTTTTGATTCGCATCAAGGAGTTTGGAAACCATTGGTATAGAGAATAAACAATGTCGTTTGATAACTTCGCGAAAAGCGAAAACACTAATCTGTAGAGATCAAGTTAAGCTGAGTACATGGTGGACCAATTCCTCGTACAGTAAGCCAGTTTATGGTTTGAAACTTTTTATCGGCTTATTGCTTATTTAGAATTCAGCATTTTTGTTTTCGGCTCATTTTTTCGCGATCTCCCAGAAAAAGCTTCACGGCCCCCATGGATGCCGCGGCTCCCTCTTTGGGAAACTGTTCAGTGTTTTTTTCAGTCGGATTTACTGGACGACCCTTGCGTACGGGGTTTGGTCGTCGCGACTCCCCATGAAAAAAATCTTGATGTTTCTTGGCGCAGTTTGTCAGAGTTCATAACCAAAGTGATATGTGCATCTCTCAGACACCTCGGAGACTAAAAAGAAAAAGAAATTTGAATCAGCGCAAACATCTCGTAACCCCCCTT